GATGCCGTTGGAAGTTGGGACACCCTGACTTACGCCACCTCCGTTCTTACCTCTGCCTGCTTCGGGCTTTGTTGTTGCTGCTTCTAGAATCACCTTCCTTTTCTTCCCTCTATTCCAGCGGTTCTCAACCTTCCTCACGCTGCGACCCTTTAACACAGTTCCCCATGTTGTGGTGACCCCCAATGTCATTGTTACAAATTGAACATCATTAAAACATAGTGATGAATCACAAAAACAATATGTCATTATAGATGTGTTTTCCGATGGTCTTCGGCGACCCCCCCAAAAGGGTCGTTCGACCCCCAAAGGGTTGCGACCCACAGGTTGAGAACTGCTATGCTACAGGAAAAGATGAGCACAAGATAGAAACGTGGTGACAGGGTCAGAGGACAAAGGATAGGTAAGAACAGTCCTTTTCAAATTCCCTTTCAAAAGCAAAAATCATTATTTTTTAAAGCAGATTAGTCCACAGCGTAACATAATAGAAAGGGACATAACAAGGGAGAGAGAGAGAGACACCAATGAGGAGGGAGAACCATAGATCGGCCGCCTCCTGCACGCCCCCTACTAGGGATGGAGCCCGCAACCCGGGCCTGTGCCCTGACCGGGAATCGAACCGTGATCTCCTGGTTCATAGGTCGATGCTCAACCGCTGAGCCACGCCGGCCGGGTGGGCCCTGGCTTTGAGAGGGCCTCTGCGTGTTGATGGCTGTGCCCGTGTGCGGCGGTCCCCATCCTGACACTTACACGTGTCGGTTTCGGGAGACGCTGTTGACACGAGCGACCTCCACTGTGCCCCAGGTCCGCTCGCCGTATCCATTCAATCCTCCTTTGGTGACAGGAAGCGCATCACCCCCAGGACTTCTCCCGGCCAGGTCCCGCCCAGGCCCGGCCCGTGGATTGGGCGCCCGGGGTCGCTTGGTCCCAGGGTGGGCCTCGGAGTGGGCGGTCTCTGCTACGTTCCCCCTCTTCCTCCGCAGGCCGTTTTGTCGGCGACCCTTCCTAATGCCATTCCTCATGTTGTGGTGACCCCCAATGTCATTGTTACAACAAATTGAACATTAAAACATAGTGATGAATCACAAAAACAATATGTCATTATAGATGTGTTTTCCGATGGTCTTCGGCGACCCCTCCAAAAGGGTCGCGACCCACAGGTTGAGAACCGCTGCTCTATTCCCTCTCGTCCCGTAGCTGCAAAACCGAGAGGCGTGTCAGGAGCAGCCCGTGGCCTTGGCGGTGGTCGAGCCCATCCTGGACGTCCTGGCGGCCCTGCTGCGCCAGGGGGAGGAGACCATCCGCAACCCACACCACGTCAGCCTGGCCTTCAGCGTCCTGCTGGCCGTGCCCCTGGACCGCCTGAGGCCGCCGGAGTTCGGGCGCGTCTTCCCGCGGGTGCACAGCGTGCTCTTCACCATCCTGCAGTGTCACCCCAAGGTGAGGGGCCGGGACCAGCGGCCTTGCCCCCCTTTTTTTTTATGTGTTTTTATTGATTTCAGCAAGGAAGGGAGAGAGAAAGAGATAGAAGCATCAGTGATGAGAGAGAATCACGGATCGGCTGCCTCCCGCACTCCCCACACTGGGGATGGAGCCCGCAACCCGGGCCTGAACCCCAACCGGGAATCGAACCGTGACCTCCCGGCTCACAGGGCGATGATGAGCCCCTTTCTGAGAGAGAAGTGGAAATCAGCGATGATGTTCCTGTCTTTCTTTGGCCCGTGTGTATTCCAGGTGATGCTGAAAGCCGTCCCCTCCTTCCTGAACTGCTTCCACCGGCTGGTGTTTTCGGTGATGCATGAAGGCCGGCAGAAGGATAAAGGTACTTCAGCTGCCCCAGGGCTTCCTCTCTCTCTCAAAATCAACAGGCTGTTCTTTAAAAAAGAAAAAGAAAGAAAGCTGGGAAGACACTAGTCATGGGGTCACATGTATCTGTCCGTAAGAGCAAAACCCCGCACAGTTTCTGAAACTTTGTAAGGAGGCAATGATGCGACTGAGCCCCTCTTATCTTTAAAAATCACACGTCAAGCAGCACTTTAAAAAAATGTCCCGTTTTCCCCGTTCTAAGCCTTCCTGGTGGAAGGCTTAGAATACAGCAGCCATCCCCGACTTCAGCCTGAAAGTCCTGATTATTCTCGGAGCCCCGGGAAACAGCCACGGGCTCCTGAGTATTCTAACGGTCCTTCCCTTCGTGACGTAGCGAAATGTTTGGACATGCGTGTCCCCGTCCCCCCCTGCCCCCCCATCCTGTCTGCAGAATGAGCTGATTAGAGAGTGGGAGGGAGGGGCGCTGTGAGGAACGCGGGGCGGCAGGGACCCTGTGAGATGAGGAGGAGGGAGCCCACATGCCGGGGGCTGACGGGTTCGGACGCGCTTTGCCGTGCAGGCGGCGCGGAGGACCTGGCCGGGGTGCTGGCGTGCGCCCGCCTGGTGGAGAGGATGTACAGCCACATCGCCGCCCGGGCCGAGGACTTCACCGTGTTCTCCCCCTTCATGGTAGCCCAGTACGTGACGGAGGTGCAGAAGGTAAGCCGGCTCCCGCCTTTTATTGATTTCAGAGATGGTGGGGGGGGAGAAATTTCAGTGATGAGAGAGAATCATGGATCGCCTGCCTCCTGCACGCCCCCTAGTGGGGATTGAGCCCGCAACCTGGGCATGTGCCCTTGACTGGAATTGAACCCGGGACCCTGCGGTTCCCAGGCCGATGCTCTAGCCACTGGGCCACACCAGCTAGGACCAGAGTCCAAATGTCACTGCCCCTGTAGACACATAGGCATCGTGTGTTTATTTACCTGAAGCTACCCCCTGTGGCACTTCATTCCAGGCTTTTGTGCACTTGAGTTGGCTTCTGTTTCCCCAAACGATAAACTTTCGAGATGGGCATGTGCAGCTGTGTCAGCTGTGTGCACAGCGGTGTTTTAAAAGGAGCGTCTTTCTCAAGGTGGAGGCAGACGTGGGAATTCCTCGCCGGGCCTGCCTTCGCTCACGGGGTGTGTCCTCTCCCAGGTCACCTTGTACCCGGCCGTGAAGGGCCACCTGCAGGAGGGCATCTACCTCATCCTGGACCTCTGCATCGAGCCCGACGTGCAGTTCCTGCGCGCCTCGCTGCCGCCCGGAGTGCGGGACGTCTTCAAGGAGCTGCACAACGACTACGTCAAGTACCACCGGGCAAAGCGCGAGGGCGAAAGGCGGTATGCCGTCTGAGGACACGCGGGGAGAGGCGGTGCGCCGTCTGAGGACACGGGGGGAGAGGCGGTATGCCGTCTAAGGACACGCGGGAGAGGCGGTACGCTGTCTAAGGACGCGGGGAGAGGGTACACCATCTAAGGACACGCGGGGAGAGGCGGTACGCCCTCTAAGGACATGCGGGAGAGGTGGTGTACAGTGTAAGGACACGCAGGGAGAGGCAGTGCGCCATCTAAGGACACGCGGGGAGCGGCGGTACGCCATCTAAGGACGCGCGGGAGAGGCGGTGTACAGTGTAAGGACACGCGGGGAGAGGCAGTGCGCCATCTAAGGACACGCGGGGAGAGGCGGTACGCCATCTAAGGACATGCGGGAGAGGTGGTGTACAGTGTAAGGACACGCGGGGAGGGGCGGTGCGCCGTCTGAGGACGCGCGGGAGAGGCGGTGGCAGGAAGACCTGGTGAATGAAAGGCTTCGATGTCCAGTGGGAAATACGTGGGTTATTTAATATGTGCATTGTATTTGACAGCCATGTTTTTCACACATACCTTTTCACGCAGTAAGTACTGCAGTAGCGTCCCGAAAACACACCTTAGAACGAGGTGGACTCAGTGAACAATTGCCCAGCCACTTGTGGCCATTCCAGGTGTGGTTCTTGCCTAGCTCAGTCCCTTCTCCCCATCAAGAACTGTGTTGAACTTGTAATTAAAGTCCTATTAAAATACCTCTGCCTCTGCCCTGACCGGTTTGGCTCAGTGGGTAGAGCGTTGGGCTGTGGACTGAAGGGTCCCGGGCTCAATTCCGGTCAAGGGCATGTACCTTAGTTTTAGGTTCCCTGGGCCTGGTTGCAGTGTGGGACTGAAGGGTCCCGGGCTCAATTCTGGTCAAGGGCATGTGCCTTGGTTGCGGGCACATCCCCAGTAGGGAGTGTGCAGGAGGCAGCTGATCGATGTTTCTCTCTCATCGATGTTTCTAACTCTCTATCCCTCTCCCTTCCTCTCTGTAAAAAATCAATACAATATATATTTAAAAAATATATCTTTGCCTCATCGGCCAGTGTGGCTCAGTGGACGAGTGTCAACCTATGAACCAGGAGGTCAGGGTTCGATTCCGCGTCAGGAAAATGGGCTTGTGGGCTTGGTCCCCAGTGGGGGCGCGCACAGGAGGCAGCCGATCCATGATTCTCTGTCATCATTGATGTTTCTATCTCTCTCCCTCTCCCTTCCTCTCTGAAATCAATAAAAATGCATTGGTGCTTTTTTTTTTCCTTCATTTTGTTCTTAATCTATTTGTTTTTTAATTTAAATTTTCTGTTGTTCAAAGTATTACATAAAGTCTCCTTTCCCCCCGATCGACCTCTCCCCAGCCGCTCCCACCCCCCAGCACATGCCCTCACCCCCAGTTGTCTATGTCCCTTGGTTATGCTGTGGGGATGGTGCATTGGAGCAGCAGGCGACCTTTTCAAGGACACAGGTGTTGACAGCTGGAATCCAGGCCGTCTCTGGTTTTGCCCTCGGGTCCCGTGCTCAGACGGGAGGGCCACTGCTCTCAGAGGCCTCCTGAGATCCTGCTGGTGTTTCCTCTGCTGGGAGTTCAGGAAGGCGAGAGTCTGGCCGGGGACCCCTCTCCCCAGCTTTTGGAATGTCCCTGGGGCACAGACAAGCACGGAGCAGTCCCCCAGGTGCCCTGATGGTGGCACTGCAGGGCCGCGCTCAGGGCCCAGGGCTGCTCTGAACAGGGAGCTCAGATCAGATGCCTTTACCTGCATGCCCCGGGAGGAGGGGAAGGAGGAACGAGGGTGCGCACCCCATGTCCTCCCTGCCGTGTGCCCACCTGCACCTGAGCAGGGCCGGCCCGGCTTCCTCACCACCATCGCTGCTGGAACTCCAAACCTTCTTCCTCAGGAAAGAATAGTTTTCAACTCTTATTTTTAAAAAAAATATTTTTAAAATTGATTTCAGAGATGGAGAGAGCAAGATGGAAACATCAATGATGAGAGAGAATCATGGATCAGATGCCTCATCAATTGATGAGTTAATGAAACGTTTGCCCAGAGGTAGCGGGCTAATTTTTTTAAAATGTATTTTTATTGATTTCAGAGAGGCAGGGAGAAGGAGGAAGGGAGAGAAACATCAATGATGAGAGAGAATCATGGATCGGCTGCCTCCTGCACAGCCTCTACTGGGGATCAAGCTCACAACGTGGGCCTGTGCCCTGACTGGGAATCGAACAGTGATCTCCTGGTTCGTAGGTGGACAACCACTGAGCCACACCAGCCGGGCCACACGCACATTTTATAGAAAGGTATCATTGTGGTCAGCAAACACAAGAAGGGAACCAATAATAATGATAATAATAATAATAATTAATAATAATAATAAACAGGCCTGAGCAGACAGCCGGCAACCTCGGCCACTGGGCCTCTCACTCACCCATCTTCTCTACTAACCTATGGTGTTGGCTTAAGCAAGTCCATTAACTCCTGTGTGTTCCTCTCACGGCCTGGGCTTCTAAGTGGAAAAGAACATCCCTGACCCAGCTCGGAAAGGTGCCGGGAGCTCGACCCACATGGTCACAGGACCCTCCCTGGTCCTCAGTGCTGTGTGAGGGCCAGGTGCTAGAGGGGTGGTATTCCCTTCCGTCCGCAGGCCGACACCCTATCCACTGAGCCATACCAGCTAGGGCTCAACTCTATTTTGTTCATTCACGGGGGAGAGGAGACATTGACCTTAGCGGCTGTGGTGCTGCAAAGAGAAAAGGCGCGATGAGAAAGCAGCGCATCCCTTTTGGCCACAGCGCGTGAGCCAGGAGCCTTGTTTGCAAAGAGCTGTTGATACAATGACAAGCCTCTAGCATCCATCAGCGGGATGGAGGGGTGCGGGCCGTCGGCCGAGCTGGGTAGGGGCCTCTCCATTTCCCTACGACGCTTTGGGCCTTCTCATTTCGAAACCACTTGGCCTGCCAAGTGCGCGCCACACTCATCTCCATCGGCTGCAAGGAATGTCAGCGCCTGCGGGTCCCTCGCTGGCACCTCTCCAGACAGCTGCTCCTCGCGCTCCGGGCTGGGATACACTTCCCAGCAAAGGGTGCGTCTCCGCAGGAGCAGATGTTGGCATCCAGGGCACAGGCGCCCTCTCCAGTCGGCATGTGCGCTGTCAGTCGGGGAACCGCACAGCATGACAAGCGAGAGACCTAATCATGGGAGTGAGGGATGGGGGAGAGGCGGGCTTGTTAATGAACGGCTCCAGGAGGGAAACTGGGTCTCTCGGGTCTCTCGGGTCGCAGGAGCTTCTCTGAACTCACGTAGGGCTCGGCGTTTTCCACCCCAGCCCACCGTCGCTCGCATCTGAGAAGACGGCTGTGAACACCCCTCAATGAGCCAACCTGGCCGAATCCCAGGGCCAGGTGCACACAGGACAGCACCTGGTTCGTCCAGTTCCTCTGGAATGGATTCGAATGTGCACACACACACATACATGCACACGCACACACACACACACATACACATGTATCAAATTCATAATTAA